CCGGTGAGATTAGAACCGCTGAACTGCAGATAACAGTCAGCTGAAGTGGCCTGCAGTACTGCACCCTAACCACTGCGCCACCTCGGCTCTTTTTTGACAGAATTGGAAGAAATGTATGGGATGGATGAATGGATGGATGTATAGTATAGTAATAGTAATAGTATAGTATAGCCTTTATTGTCATTGTACTAAATAAATACAACAAAATTGGTTAGGTATGTATCTATGTGTATTTATTTATTTGCTTCTTTGTTTGTGTGTGTGTTTATTTATTCATGCTATGTTTATAAATAACTCAAGGCAGCTAACACATCTAATACTTCTTCCTCCTCCTATTTTCCCCATAACAACAACCCCATGAAATGAGTTAGGCTGAGAGACTTGGACTGGAACAATGTCACCCAGCTGGTTTTTCATGCAATCTCTGGTAACCAGATAGAATCTGCCAGAGTTCAGACAAAAATATTTAGAAGCTTCCCTCCCCACTCTCAGGATTAGACTTGGGTGTGAGTTTCCAATAAAAGTGATAGATGTCCCAGTGATACCTGCAGCTAAGAGACCCTCACAAGTTCAGAAAGTGAAACACTTGGTTTCAGATGCCCAGGAAGAATTCAAAGATTGGGAGGGTCAGATGGATCTGCTTCACTTACCCTGGTTGCTTTATTTTGTTTGGGAAAATTTAGTGGAAAATAGTTGTGTTTCCAGGCAGGATGCTTGCAAAATTGTAGAGTAACAGTTACAGGGTAAGAAAGCATGATGGTGAACAACATTGTTAAACTTTTCTGTTGTTTTTTTGCTCAAACACGGTATTTTTAATAGATAAGGTTTAGATGATGGTTTTAGAATTCAAAAGGGCAAAGCTTAGAAAGATGTAAACATACAACAAGTTGTACGTAAGAGCCCAAAGCAAGAATAATGTATGGCATTTTTTTCTCTTAGTAGGAAGGGGTTATACAACCAAGGCTGGTATGGAAGCCACTTTGGAAGCAAATACTGCATATGTCAATCATAAGACATTTGGATTGGATCCAAAGGTTTGCTTCCTTGCAAGGAAAGGATTTTGTGTGTGTGTACAGAAAAAAAAAATGTACCCAGCCCTGGTAAATTAAGACAAAATGCTTCAAATGATGCCTCTTCACTTTGTAGGTCCACATTGCAACAGAACATGGGATGGTTGGTTATGCTGGGAAACTACTCCAGCAGGACAAACTGTAGAACAAAACTGTCCAGACTACTATCAGGACTTTGACCCTTCAGGTAAGGATTAAGACATCAGTGCTGTATGTCTACTAGAGAGAGCCAGTAAAAACATTTTCTGAGTGCAGAGAATTTGGGTAGAATTATGCAGATTCAACTTCATGACAAATCTTTAAATAATTTGAAAGCGAGCTCTTTCTAGTACAGGATTCTTACTACTTTGAATGCATTTGGTATCATGTGTCACATGTCAGGTCTACAGAAATTATACCATTAAATGTTCATCAAGCTCTTGAAAGAATAGTTGCAGACAAGAAGCAAAGATAGGAATTTAATCAGACTCTAGGATTGTTTTCACGCTTGGCTACTAGAGTGTGCTCAGTATGATAGGTCATATGTTGTAAATGCAAAAAACAATATTATGGATTTGAGACCTTGTCTTCTTTGTATTTTAAAGTACCAGATTTATGTTCCAGATGGACATTTGATCAAAGATGTCCCAAATAATTAGGAAAATCAAACTGTTCCAAATCTCTTGAATTATTTTGGAATTTATATGTGCAGAACAAGTATCCAAAGATAGATATGCAACTTGTTGCTTGTTGTCTCACTTCATCTAAATTCAGAGCTGGATTACAAAGTTAGACATTTAAGTAGGGTATTTCAAACAATTAACGAAACTTATTTTGCTATTAAGGAGAGCTTCTATTTCATTTAAGAAATTGCATTGATTATAAACCATCAGTTAATTATGTACATTTAAACCTGTTTAAATGCATATTTTATTGCTACAGAATTAAAGAACAGTAATCTTAATAATTTATGGATTATGGGGATGAAAGAGGAATGCAAATTAAAATAGGCAAGGATGTGTTGAGAAAACATCTGGTTGCATTGAATGAATTCAAGTGCTGCGGCTTACCCCAGGTTGATGTAATCTCTGAACTGCTGACTCAGTGGAGTGTAGAGCGATTGTCTGAAAACTACCATGTTTTCCCCAAAATAAGACAAGGTCTTATTTCTTTTGACCCCTGAAATAAGCGCTTGGCCTTATTTTCAGGGGGGTCTTATTATTTCAATGCCTTTTGCTGTTGCATTTATTGAAATGTTAACTATTTTGGAACACAGAATTTATAATTAACTTTTTTCTCCTTAATTTTTCTCCAAAAGAAAAAGTTTATAAGATCTGTGAAGAAAGCGGACACTGGTTTGTGCACCCTGAGAGTAATAGAATTTGGACAAACTTTAGCCTTTGCACTCATCAGATGCAATATAAATTGCAGGTAATTGCATTGTCAGAAGAAAAAGGGTTTAAAAAGTCTAACAATTGTGATATGTCCACTATGTTAATTTCTATTCACTTGCTACTGCATTATATTTCAGCAAGGTTAAGTCATTTAGATTGCCATCCTAGAATAAATTGCCCTGGAANCTTATTTTGGGGTCAAAATAAAATAAGACCCTGTCTTATTTTGGGGGAAACACGGTGTGTGTGTGTGTGTGTGTGTGTGTGTGTGTACACGCACACACATATTCACACAGACAGACAGACAGACAGACACTTTATACTCAGAACTTTATAGTATGCAAATATGTAGCAGATTTATTTGCTGGCTACAAAGTCTAGACTGCTGTTGGCTGAACACTGAATATCCCTTTTTTAAAAAGAAAAACTCTTCTTTCCTTGTAGTTGAAACATTTGGGATATTTATTTAGTAGACATGTGGCTATCAGCTCACAAATTACAATTCTGGGTAGCTAACATAGGGTTAAAACAAAAGCAAAAACAAAAGACAGGGCCATCCATCACCATCTCAAGCAGTATGCTATTCCAAAATATGTTGCCAGATAACATATTTAACAGAAGGGACTCCAACTATGCCCATCCCATTGGATCTGAGACAGGCTGAAACAATCAGAAATAGGCAGTCATGCAAGCAATTCAGGTTTGTGCCATGAAGGTAGTAACCAAAAACTTGAATTGCACTCAGAAACCTACTGCACCTAGCAAAATAATGATTTTATTGTGTGCTTACTGAAGTACAAGTAAAACTATTGTTCCTGGATGTTCTTCCCATCCCCCTTAGCTCTCATGAATATTTCCTCCTCCCCAGTCAGGAGTGCCATGTAACTTGTAGAGCAATTGACAAGAGATCTTTGGCACACCTCCACCTAAATTACTGTATTTTTCAGAGTATAAGATGCACCAGAGTATAAGACACACCAAGATTTTGAAGAGGCAAATTAAAAAAAAAGTTTTTGCATTCTATAGACCTCCCAAAAATGGCCTGGTTTTTTTGTCAAAAAATGGGCATGCATAGCCTTTAGGAGGCTTATAGAGTGCTCCTGGGGTCTGTGGGGGCAAAAACAAGCAAAAAATGCCCCATTTTTGTTCTCCCCAGCTCCCAGGAGCATTCTGGAATCCTAAAGTCTATGTAAGGCCATTTTTGCAAAGGGGGCAGGGTTTTGGGAGACCAAAAATGCTGTATTCAGTGTATAAGACACACCCAGTTTTCACCCTCTTTTTTTGAGGGAAAAAGGTCCGTCTTATACTCTGAAAATATGGTGTTTTACAAACAAGAGATTTCCATAGGATAGGTGATATCTTGCGTTATCACCCATTGATAGCAGGGCATCATACTATTATATCCCACATAGTTCATATCCACCTTTCAGAGTCAGAACTGAAGAGAAAGTTGAGTGGGGGTGTGTGTTTCCCCAGAGTTCTGCTATTTGCATTTTAACCATTTTGAGCACATCTAAGATTGCATTTTCAGATAGTCAGCCAACAAAAGCACAGTAGGTTCTTCAGTGAAGTGGAGAAATCTCAACAGGATCATGAATAATGATGGGATAGGATTGTATAGGCCAGTGGGTCTCAACCTTCCCTAATGCCGCGACCCTTTAATACAGTTTCTCATGTTGTGGTGACCCCCGCCAACCATAAAATTATTTTATGTTTTCCGTATTATTATTATTTAAAAAAATATGTGTTTTCCAATGGTCAGGTGACCCCTGTGAAAGGGTCGTTCAACCCCCAAAGGGGTCCTGACCCACAGGTTGAGAACCACTAGTATAGGCAGATTTTATTGAAGGAGGACAGCTGAGCTTGTGGTGGGCATCTTAAAGAGGATAATTAAAGTGCAGGGGGTTTTGTTTTATTATTTCCCTGTTTTTACTATGATTTTGTTTTATTTATTGGTTTTATTGTTGTGAGCTGCCAGTATTTCTGAGTACTCAACAAAGATCAACAAAGCAAAACAAAACTCAACCGAAGATTTATAAGGTTTCAAAGTACATTTAAATGGAATGGAGATTATGGAGTGTTTTCTAGTGCTTTGAATAACCATAGCAATTTGCTAACTTTGAAAAAAAAAAGCCAATTTGTATCAAAGAAATACCCAAGTTGGTTTACAATTAACTTTTTGCCCCTAAGCATCAGTCAAGCTTCTTGTCGGGATTATATAATAGGTGTGTAATTGGTTTTAGAGTAATATAAATTCATTTATTAAAAGGTCAGAGTGTTCTGATAGTTTAAGGACATTACACAGACAATAAAATTAATATTGTTGCACATTTATTGGGTAGTAAATTCTATTAAGATTAAATAATCATGCATAGGATGTTTACCAAACCATACCAAAATTACTTCATCTCTATTCTGGCATGATGTCAGTAAGAGTATCCAGGGAGTCCACTGTTTGTTTATTGACATAAATCTCATGCAGGTCATGACTGTTGGAGAAAAGAAATTTGAAGATTAATGGTATACATGAGAAAATACTCCCTGAGTCTAAACTAGGGCTGTGAAACGAGGGGCCCACAGGCCAGATTCATCCCATGCTTGCCACACACATGCCTGATTTAGCGAAGTGGGGAAACATTGCAATACGTCACATGATGCCACCGCGATGACAAGAGTTTGACACAGGGGTGATATTCACTTACTTTCCCTACCAATTCTCAAATGTGAGTGCACCAGTCCACGCATGCGCTCGGCCTTCCGTGCATGCGCTTTGATCATGTGAGCGGCTAGCACGCAGGCGCACAGCTTGAAAACGTGCCTGAATAGGACGGCATAGATCCGGAGCGGGTGGGCGGGGGCCGCCCCACCCACGATTCCCACAACTGGTTCGAGTGAACCAGTCCGAACTGGCTGAATACCACCTCTGGTTTGACACCCCTGGTCTAAACATGTGTAATTTTAGTTTTCCACAGTGCATGGATGTTTTTGTATTACGATTACCAATGTGACATATAAAAATTTGAGTATTGTGCTAATACAAGCACTATATTGTTGTTGGTAATATTTCTTCCTTTTTTGAGTGATCAAAGGAAAGAAGGAAGTGCCTTGATGAACCTTACTAAGCATTCTATCCTGACTGGNGAAAATGAGAAAGTCTTGTGGGGCTTTCGAATACAAACGGATCGTCATTTGGAGCACAACACACCAGATATCACGGTTGTAGAGGGCCGAAGTGTACAGTTTATTGATATCGCTGTTCCTGGAGATGCCAGTCAAAGAAAAAGAACTAGAAAAAATCATGAAATATCGCGACCTGGCCATCGAAACTACACGGCTATAGATGAAGCATGTAATAGTGATACCCATTGTCATCAGGGCACTTGGCACTTGGCACAGTATTGTTACTTGCTGATGCAAATCAAGTTCTAAATATCTAGAATCCAAGATCCTGCAAATTAATGTCCATATTCTTATTCCTATGGGCAGACGAGAAATTGATTTTTTTTAAAAATCTTCCAAATTCTTCCCCAAAAGGTGTATGATTTCAACATAGCGTTTTGAAGGCAGAGAGGATTATCTTTGTTTTCTCTTTGTGTTTCCATTGTTGCAAGTTCAGTACAAATTGAATTCGTTTTACCCCTTGAATATTACAAGAATATCTATAATTATATTGATCTTTTCTCCCATAGGTTGGATGCAAAGTGGCACAATTCATTCAGTTTTACTTCATGGTTTGCAATTACTTCTGGATGCTCTGTGAAGGGATTTACTTGCATACTCTGATTGTGGTGGCTGTATTTGCAGAAAAGCAGCATTTACTTTGGTATTACCTCCTTGGATGGGGTAAGCTATTTTTCTTTTTCCCCTCCCTCTTCCTAAGTATATTGATATCACTTTTGGGGCCCACTCATGCTGTCATTTTAATTCAAGGGGAATTTTAATATAATCCAAAGGAAACCCAGCAGCAATTTGTAACCTCTGTTACTTTATTCACCCAACCCAGAGACGCTAAATATCATTTTACGTTAGATACCACTCCTCACACTGGAAATATTTCATTCGTGGCTTTTAAGTGTACATTACTGACTCACAAATCTTATCTTTGCTAAATGGGGAATGTGTTGGGCAGGAAGTGACTTCTTTGATTTAGAAAAAGTAGTCTTCTATTAGGAAAGAACATGAGGGCGTGATTATTCATTGTTTCCCATCTTAGGAGTGTTTATACAGGCAACATTAATTGTTGAAAAAAAATATTGCCGATTCCTACAGTGGGGATAAGCCCCACCATTTATTTTTCCAGGAGTTCTTTTGACCTCTTTTGTTTGCAGTGTAAAAAGAAGCCACACCTTTTTAAAAAAAGCCTAAGCTTTCCCCCCACTTTAATGGGTCAATAGGCGTTGTTTTGCTTTATCCTCTCATTAAATGCCAAAAGGGAGGAACCCTTCCTCACCCTGGATGTCTTGCCTCATGCCGTGATCCAAGTGCACCTCCTGCCCCAAAGCCCACAGTTGTTGTTTGTGATTGTTTATTTGTTGCTAATGCATCTGGGGTCCATCACTTTGGCTGACTAAAGATGCTTATTTCGAGTTCAGTTTTGCTCCGAACATGTTATGTATTCTAGTCTATGCCGTCTCTTGCTCCTCTGACTCTCTCATCATCACTCTCAGCCTCTTTCCAACTCAATACACTTCTTTAGAAAAGCAGACATAGGGATTAATCAGCAAATGTTATAGGCATTTAGGAATGATTTCTAGGTTTAGCCAAAATGATATGCATGTAATAGGCAAGGAATTATTTCGATGTCAGCTCGCAAAGCATCCCTGGCCTGCTCTTGAATTGCCATAGGCAAGAGGGGGGGGGGGGGATGATGGAGCAGCACAGCAGCCACAACCAGAAGCACATTCCATGCATACCTTTCTCAAGGCTGTATCCCAGGTTACCTCCAGCAGCCGGAAGGGTGTGATCTTTACAGCCTGCAAAAGTGCTCTGTTGGAGAATGTGATCTATGACACACCCTGGGGGGATGGGGGAATCAGGGTCATAATTGGGGTGTAAATTACATGGGGTCAGAGCTGGCTTCACTTGGGTATGTGCCGACATGTTGCTCCTAATAAATAACTGGATTTCTTTTGAAGCTTGGCCATGATTTAATTAGGGCATCCGTCGAAACCCTAACAGCAAACCAGCTCTGACCCCATATTTTCATATAAGAGGTGATCTTGTACTTGTGGTATCATGAGGGAACAGGATAAGCTTCAACACTTCATAGACCTATCCTCTCCTGGTCTCCTGTCAGCGAGACAAAGACTAGAAATAATTTCTGGGGTTTGGACAGGAATCTGTTATTTGTCCTGCTATTGGAACCTTCTAATAACCATTTTTGTTATGGGCAACATTATGCTAATATACACAGGCCTACCTTCTGCAGGGTTATTATGACCATAATCTTTTATTCTTTTAAAATGAATAATTTATATTTGAGCCTACTTTTCAAATCAAGGGTGTTGGATGCTATGTAGCCTCTGGGATCAATTTTTATTCTTTCATAACACATGCTTATTTTAAGATCTATTAACAATCCATTAAATATGGATTTAACTGAGAGCTTTAATTTATGGAGGCTCATGTACAGAGACATTTTAATGTCACTTTAATTAGATGAATCAAGGCTTAAATCGAGTTGGATTTATAGCTTCAAATGCCAGTATTTAAAAAAAAATGAATTGTTCTATATTAAAGCATATTTATTGCTAAGGTTGATTCTAATTCTCTACGGGTATCGACTCATTTCATTAATTAGTGGTAGCTGTGGTACCATAAATTATAAACAAATCAACCCCGAATGGTGTGTGTGTGTGTGTGTGTGTGTGTGTGTGTGTGTGTGTGTTTTAAACTTAATTATTTCTGCTGCTGCAAAAGTATCCAAATGCAAATTTATATAATTCCAAACCAATTCTTAAAATTTCTTGATTATTTTCATTTCATGTCTGTCTGTCTGTCTGTCTGTGTGTGGATATGGATATNCGCTTTTGACATCGCGGTTTTAGCACCGCGGTTTTGACGGCGTGCTTTTGTCATTCACACATTTGTCGGGTCACGAGCAGGAAGATCATAAAGGTGGGGGGAGGTGTCCTTGGTGCTCTCTGAGCTTGCTTGTTTTCTTACAAACTTTTCATTACCTAGTGCTAGTCACTGCACTGACAATGTTACCTAGTTTGGGTAATGAAATGTCTGCAAGAAAACAAGCAAGCTCAGAGAGCACCCCTCGTTTCAACCCTGAGCTACAAATGTTGTCCCTTATCAAGAACATAAATAGCTGGGAAGAAAGACAACTACAGATAGATATTTTTAGCAGTTTTATGAAAGAACAAACGCGAATAATTATTTTTCTTTTTTTTAATATACCGTAAGTTTATTAATTTTTTTATAAAAGAAGATAAAAACTAAGAAAACAATTGTCCAAAGAGAGAGAGTTAGAAAAGAGAAAGAGAAAAGAAATAAAAGTGAAAAAAGATAAAAATTCTAGAGATAAAAGCATAAAAGAAAAATAAAGTAACTTCTGACTTCTTTTACAGACAATAGAGTTGCGTTTAACCTTTATTTTAGCATCAAACTCTAGCTTCCATTTTTCCCAACAATCCATACATTTTACTAGTCATCAAATCCATGTCATAATTTGATATTTTTTGTGTTTCATGCTATAAAGTCCACAAAAGGCTTGCAATTAGTATTACATTTTGCCAATGTCATTTCTCTAATGAGGGCCATGATTAAAAAAACTCAATGTACTGAGATTTTATGTTAGGATCAGGACTGACCACACCCAAAAATTGTAGCAAATGGTAAAAAAAAAAAAACCAGCAGGTTATCCGATCACAGGAAAGTGTGAATCAGGGCTGGTATACACTTACCTTCCCTACTGGTTCGCAAATGTGAGCATGTGCATGCATGCTTCGCATCTCCCCACTTGCGCAGATCCTTCTGCGCATGTGCAGATCCTTCCACGCATGCACTTTTGGTGAAAAAGTGGCCTAAATGGGATGCCATAGAGCCGGGCACAGGTGGGCGGAGCCACCTGCGATTTCCGCTACTGATTCAGGTGATCTGGTCCAAACTGGTAGAATACCACCTCTGGTGTGAATACTTGTTAATATGCATAGTTTACTAGACATTCAGTTGAATGTATTTCTATCTCCCTTGTCTGGATATCCATTCACTCATTCATGAACTGTGAGAATAGAGCTAATGTCATGGATTTGCTGCAATTTGTGAAAATCGATGTAAAAAAGAAGAGAAGGCAAGAAAATAAACACAGCGGGCCATGGTCGAATGTAAAATCCTAACAATAAGCTGTTCTGAATCCCCATTGACAGCCTACTCGCCAAGCTGCCCTTAGCAGAGGATGGCTGATCAAAATTTCTTTGAAGCTTGAGAAGCATGTTCAGATGCCTAACAGCTTAAATCCCAGGAAGTTGCTATTGAATTACAGTGCAGTTGGTTTACAAATTTTATAAGACCGGTTAATACAGACCTTTACTGACCCTAGAGACTTCCTTCCAAAGGGTAGGGGGGAATACCTTCGTTGGTGAAAGGCTAATAATGTGCAAGAAATCTGAGAACCTGTTCTATAAAAGCAAAAAATGAAGCAACAGTAGCAGGAGCAAAAGCGGAAATAATACTGCTTTCATTTAGGACAAGCAATACATATCCTGTGTGACCACCACCACCCCAGGCACTTTGCTACCCATCCCATGGCTATGTTTTGATTCTGGCCAATTAATCCTGTAGTGTTTTCAAGTTCTACTAAGCAGCAGAATCAAAGGCAGACAGCGGACTTATGCAGAGGTTCACCAGTCATGCAGCCTGGTTTGAAATCTGATCCTCTATTCAAGTTCTGCTCTGCTTTTTTGACGTATGAGAATTGGGGCAGCCAATTCTACTGACTTCCAGAAGTGACACCCAACCAGGAATCATTTCAAGAGCAAGCAAGGCTAAGTTATCTGTCTCTCCTCTCTTATGTGTGAGGGCTGCAACGAACAGATTTGGCTGCTAGCTCCATGGCCTTTGAATCTGTCATGGGTGCTTTTTAAATCATACTCAATTTGACTGACTCAAGGTCAAAAGATCTGCAAAGCACTGGACCCTATTCAGTTGGATTTTTGTATCTCCCTATAAGAGCTGGGGAGAAGTTATAATGGGGGGTGGGGGAATAGCCAAGATACAAAAGTGAAACCTGCGAACACGTATTAGTGATTTCTTTTTATGTCTATTATCTTGTACTATTCTCTATTTCCATAAAAATTTATATTATGCCCTGTTCTACATACTATGCCATGATGGTGAACCAATGGCATACGTGCCCTCTCTGTGGGCACACCAGCCATCGCCCCACCCCAGCTCCACCGCGCATGTGCACGCACCTCCTGCTGCCAGCTGGTTGCATGCGGGGGGCATGTGCACATGCGGGGTGTGGGGGGGGCACTCATTGCATTTTGGGGGTTCGGGCACACACACATGCACATGCGCGCTTTGGGCACTTGGCACCAAAAAGGTTAACCATCACTGTTCTATAATCTACTACTATTATTATACTAGATGCTATACTTACCTGTACTTCTATGCTATATTTTACTACTTCTACTATGTATACTACACTATTACTATTGCTTCTGTACTATTACTACCCTACAGAGTTAAATCCCCTCTTCCTCCCCACTCCCTTTCTCTCTCTCTCTTCCATCTCTCTCTCTCTTCCATCTCTCTCTCTCTCACACACACACAAACACACACACACACACACACACACACACACACCTTCTTTGTTATTTTCACATTAGAAGGTGATGGACCAGGAAAATCCTTGCTTTCATCAAAATCAACCACAGAGATTCCTTGGGAGTCTTTAGGTCAGTAATTCTCAGCCTAGCTTACCCCAGAGAGGAGNCCCTGACTGCTCTTTAGAAGGCCAGATCCTGAAGATGAAACTCAAATACTTTGGCCACATAATGAGAAGGAAGGACTCACTGGAGAAGAGCCTAATGCTGGGAAAGATTGAGGGCAAAAGAAGAAGGGGACGACAGAGAATGAGGTGGCTGGATGGAGTCACCAAAGCAGTAGGCATGAGTTTAAATAAACTCCAGAGGATGGTAGAGGACAGGAAGGCCTGGAGGCACATTGTCCATGGGATCACGATGGCTCGGACATGACTTCGCAACTAAGAACAACAACTCCAAAACATTCTTGTGGACATTTTAATTATTTACTGGCTGAGTTTATTCATACCCACTTTTTCATCCAAAAGGTCAACTAACAGATATGGAGCATAATTAAAATATACATGGTTAAAATATACATAATTAAAATATGGATATAAATGATGATAAAAAGAAGAGAAGCAGGCACCAAGCGTGGCTTTGAATCAGCCTGTCTGTAATTTTGGCTGACCTGAGTTAGAGTAAACAGCCTGACATACAGCCTGAAGTATGTATATATGTCTAATGTCTACTTCTTCTATGGGAATTTCTCTACTGCTAGTATTGCATCAAAAGTTGAGATGTTTTACTGATGCAATATTCAAAATTCCCTTGCCACATCAGTTGAGTAGCAAAACTTGGTCTCAAGCCACTTGTGCTTTCTTGCTTTCTCTTCTAGTGAATGGCTTGAAAACAAGGCTGGTGGTAAGGGAAAAGATATTTGTGGTCAATTTTCATGGGCTGGGTTCCAACAAAGCACTCAGAATGTTTGCCTGGCCGCATGAAGTTAGCGGCCTCCCTCTGAAAACTTGGAGAGTCCGTGTGCTTATGAATGGATTAAAGGTACAATGGACTTTTAACATCTGGCTAAAATTATATCTTAATGGCAAAGTAACTAAAACAAGCTTATTTAGTCAACTGAGGTTCGTTAAAAGTTAGAATCAGTTGCAGGAGCTTTGGAAGCTTAACAAACAACAGCCTTTCATTTCCTAAACAGAAATAGCTCTTTAGCTTTCTTGACAAAAGGCCCCAAGCAAATGATTTCTAATCAGGCTCATGGAACAAAGTCAAATGGTTACAATGCTGACATGATGTTAAATTGTATTTTTTTAAAAACAAAACAAAAATGGAAATTGTCCATGCATGAAGAGTTCTGGATAACCATGCTTGGACAATAGCAAAGAGAGAGGGTGTGGGGGGGGGGGAGAGATGATGATATTGTGATAGATCTGTGCATATTCCCATGATACAGTTGGTTAAGGCACCTGGGGTAGGACGTCTGATAGAAGTTGGGGGTTAATTCCTCCTTGAGGGAGAGGATAGACCCACCAGCTTTTAAAAAGGTCATGGTGACTGCCTCCTCAAGTGGCCATCACCTGAGCCAACTGTAGCATTTTCATTCATTCTCCAATCTTCCCTCTTTTAGAGAAGGTTCTAGAAAAGACAATCACACTGCAGCTCCAGAGGACTCTCAAAAAATGTATTATGTGGACTTCTTTCAGTTGGGATTTAAACCTGGGGGTCTTACTGAGGTGGCTTTGTGTTGTGCAACATCTCCTTCCTCCAGAGCTGGTTCCAATAGTTGTTGGGGGGGGAGCAAGATCTAGTGCACAGCCTCTACAATGTGGCGTATTGCAGAGCTCAGTTCTCTCTTCTTTCCTATCTAGCATCTACATGTTCAACTTTCAGTGAGGTCATGCAAAGGTTGGGGTTTGCATCATCAGTATGCTGCTGATACTCAGCATGTATCCCTTCCAGGCCTTTTGAATGATGTCATAGACATCCTGTAGCCAGAGGCTGTGGAGGCCTGGATGGGGTGGAATAACTTTTGGCTCAACTCAAGCAAGACTTTGGGTGTTTGGACCTCCTGGTAACTGGGAATCTTTCATATTTGGTTGTGAATGAGGTAGCATTGCCTCAGACCTGGTGCACAATCTGGAGATCCTCCTGAACTCACAGTTCCTGCTTGAATATGAGACCTACTCATGGGTTTGTCATGTCATCGTGGCTTCCCATCAGGGCTACTGCAATGAGCTCTACATGGGGCTGTCCTTGAAGAACATTGAGAAGTTTCAGTTGGTGCGTAATGCAGTTGATGGCACAGATTGTTCGATACATTTAACACCATTACTTTGTGAGCTGCATTGATGGCCAGTGTGCTGCTGAGTGTTGTTACCTTTAAAACCTGGGGCCAGTTTGCTTAAAGGGCGATCTTTTCCAGTTATTTTCACATGTCCCATCTTTCTAGCAGGATGGCATGCCGTGGGTCCTGTCAGCTAAGAAACGAAGGCTCACAGGATTCAGAAAATGAGCATTGTCTGCCATTGCACCCATCTTTTGGCACATTCTTCCCCTGGAGATTAGGTTGGCCCCGATCTTACTGGGCTTTCATAAGACCCTAAAAACCTGGCTCTGTGCTCAGGCCTGTGATAGGCTGTTTTTTGCTCATTTCTGCCCTCCCCAGCCCCTAGGAGCTTCCTAGAGGCTCTGCATTGCCATTTTGGTGAAGGGGCGGAGTTTCGGGAGGCAAACAATGCTGTATTCAGTGTATAAGGTGCACCCAGATTTTCAGCCTCTTTTCGGAGGGAAAAAAGTGTGTCTTATACTCTGAAAAATACGGTATATACTATCCCACTAAGATTTGCATCTGACTCTCAAAATGAATGTGATGTATGTGATTATGGTGGTGTGTTGTGATCCTTGGGATTGGTGGGGGATGGGACAGAACAGCAATATGCTAATGTCCTTGTTCTCCTTAAAAATTAAGAGAATCTCCCTCACTGCCTACCTTTTTTTCTTGATTTGTTTTTGATATATTAGGTATGAAAACCTAAACTTCTTTAATTTTCCTGCTGAAAACTTTCTCCTTCGCTTGTTGCTCAAATTTGATTACACAGACTGTTGCTCTCCATGGATATGACAATTGCTGGATATCCAGAATGAAGGAAACTGCATGATGAGATGCCTGAAGCAAAGCCAGCCTTTTCAATGCTATTGCTCTGAAGATACATAATATATACATATAAACATATACATATACACGTGTGTGTGTGTGTGTGTGTGTGTGTGTTTGTGTATGTTCCAGCATAATTCTGGAATGCCTGAAGCAATTTCAACCAAACTTGGTACACAGATGACTTACTTTCTGGAAGCAAATATTGTGGGGGTAAGACACCCCTAACACCCTCAGGGTGTGTGTTCTGTTATGATACAGCCTGTTGTACCTTCAAATGGCTTCTACTGTACTGCCGTAAAATGGCTCAGTTATCAGACAATGCCGGGTTATCAGCTAGTAGTTAATATATTGGAAAAGGGTGGTTGAGTGACTACATATGCCATACTAGGTTATATGTTTATTTTATTATATTTGACATGAGTGTTTTTTAGTCAAAAACAATTAGTCCCATAAGGGAAGGCGAACTGGGGCCCAGGCAATAGGAGATGGGGGAAGAAGGTACAAGATTGAGGCATTAAAAAGACCCTTCTGATGATTTGAGGGTTCTTCCCTTGCAATTGGGAAGGTTCTTCTATCTTGCTGCTATCAACTGCCAGTCAGTTGAAGCTCCACTCTCTCTAAGTGCCTGATCTTCCATCTGCTGGGAGGGAAGGGTGATATTTCTCATTGGTCCCTGTGAGAATCCTGGCAAAGCCCATATCACTTCTTGCTTCTGCACTCCCAAGGTTGAGATGTCTCGGTAAGAAACCCATTGTTTGCTCTTCCACAGGCTTCCCGTTGATACCTTCCTGCATACATGCTGTAGCCAGAAGCTTATATTACGATGACAAGTAAGTCACTCCTGTCTTTGAAAGAGTTTTTAATTTTTTTTAAAAAAGTCTCTTACAAGAAAGAGGGCAGAATTATTATTATTATTGTTTAACTTTTGTATTGATTTTGTTTTAATATTCTGCAGCTGCTGGATCAGTTCAGAGACTCATCTGCTGTACATCGTCCATGGTCCTATTTGCGTTGCTCTTTTGGTATGAACTTTTAAAAACAGTTTCTTTCTTCTTCTTCTCCTCCTCCTCCTCCTCCTCCTCCTCCTCCTTCTCCTTCTCCTTCTTCTTCTTCTTCTTCTTCTTCTTCTTTTAAAGAAGTTTTAAACTTTATGTTTTNAGAGTCTGAACTTGTTATTAAAGGACATTCTCATTTAAGCTTGTCTCGGCATTCGTTACTGGACGGAGGAGGGGGTCAGAACAGCCACCTGTCTGAATTGGTATAGTGTCTCCTGCTTGAACTGGGGTTGGAGTAGAAGACCTTCAAGGTTCCCTCCAGTACTATGTTGATTGAACTGCTGTAAGTATGCTTTTGCTGTTGCTAAAGTCAAAAGGAATCATGCTTCCAAAAAAAGAGCTAATTCTCCATGAGATTCACACAGGCTAGAGTAAAGGAAAGTGAAATAGGTTTAGAAGCCAGACCAAAAAAAAGTAGAAATTAAACCTCTGTTGCTAGGAACAAAGAACACAGTTTAGTACTTCTATGTTTGTTGGAGCGATTCCAACTTGAAGCAGGTCTGCTGGCGGAATCAGCTGCCATCAACCATCCTCTCATTTACTCGTCTAGAAAAGTTAGACAGACATTGTTCTCCTTCTGATTCCTCCTGTGAAGTTTCAACAAACTCGTTCCGCTTGGAGGATCCACCATAAAATGCATCTCAGGTTTCCATAATTGCAATCGCTGTCAGTGTGAAAACATGTCTTCGAATGAGACGTTAAACAGGGATTGGCCAATGTGGTTACAACTGGTGGGTGGGTGCCCTCGCCCTCACGTTGTCGCCTGGAGCAATGCAGAATTCATGCAAAAGACGAATAAGAAAGGGAAACGGCATGTGGTTGGAAGATGAATTTTCTTTTTAGGAGAGTCGGGAAACAGCTTAAAATCACTGGAATAACATTCAAAGGAAGGGATACCAAACTGGCTCTGTGTTGGAGAAGACTTTTGAGAGTCCCTTGGCCTGCAAGGAGATCAAATCAATCAAGTTTAAAGGAAATCAATCTTGACTTGAAGATAGTGTTGTGGCCCACCAGTGGCCAGCAGAGCTGGGGGCAAATTCAGACAGTGAGGAGGTTGGGGAGGGACCTGGGCCAGCCCTGGAGTCTGGGAAAGGCTCTGATGAGGGCTCTGTGTCGGAGGCAGAGAGGGGGCCAGGGCTGTCTGACAGTTATCAGCTGCCTTCAGAGTCAG